GGTGGATAGCCCTTGTCAATAATAACAATAATCTGTCAAACTGTGACTTACTTTGAATTTTCTTTCACGAATTTGCGGATCTGCGATTAGTTCAGAGGAAATGCTACAGTAACATAGCAGAAGCTGAAAGAATTCACGCCAGCAAAGGGCGAGGAGAGTGGTTCCAGGAAGATAGTGGACAATAGATGTTCGGGACAATCGATGTCCAGGCACAGAGGAACAAGTATTGGACATAATCGAATTAGGGCCTTCCAGGGGCACTCAGAGCACAATAACTGACACTTTCCCAGGACCAAATAAATACGGGCTACATTCCTACCACGTTTGTACAATACACACAGCACAAGGAGATACAAATGGAGCACGAGTTAATTAACTGAATACGAGAAGCTACTTGATAAGAGTGGATAATAAGGATATGACACAGGCACTAGCTTGCTTGGAGTTAACCATTCAAATGTTTGGTGTTGTATGGATTATTTATGTAAACACCAAACCTCGCAGAATTCGAGGTTATGAGAACAGGTTGACATTTCGAAATAGGTTCCGTCATTCAACGATTCCTGTTGAATTTACCGTTTATCCTTGTCTATCTTATTGTCACTCTCTATTTATCCATGGTTACAGGAATTTTCAATAATTACGAAGCAACAGGTATTTGCGCAATGTTAATTAGGCGGATTGCCTTGAAAAACATTGCTGCCGTATTTCTGATATAGTTTTTTGGAAATTTCTCAGTTTTTAATAACAATTAATTTCTTTTACTAGTTTTTCTGTACTCCTATAACACCGCCAGACAACACCCCCAGAGGAATGACGCCAATTTTGAATCACCTTGTATATTAAAGGCTGAGGCTGAGGCTGAGACTGGTATCTTGTTGGAAAACTTATTGCGTGCTTTTATAGAGGTGCCATGTCCAATGTTCATTTTTTTTAGTGGTATCAACTGTTTTGGGATTCAAATTTATCTGCTTTCATAATTTCAGGACATCTCAAAGTCTAACGCTGTCAAAAGCTTGCGTTAAGTCGAAAAATCACATCAAGGCAATTTTGTTATACTCAAGGGATTTTTGCACTATTCGTCTTAAAATGAATATTGCGTCTATGGTGAATCGGTTTTGTCGAATCGGTTGTTCTTTACTGATGCCAGTCCGTATAGTTTCTTCTGCTGGAATGTGTGCGAATCCCTTGAAAGTGGCGCTCAACAGACTATTACCTATATAATTTTGAGGATCAATTTTTTTGAGAACTGGGACTGTGATGCTTTACTTCCACTGTATATTGTATTAAATAAATTTTGCATTTTGTCCATTATTGCCTCACTCTCATATTTCAGCAGTTCATTATGAATATTATCCAGTCCTGGAAAGCACCAGGACTTTTCAGATAATATACTATACAAGTTTAATTTTTTGTTTTGATATTGTCTGGTTTTGGTCCTCTTTATCTTCGTTGTAATCATTTTCACGTTTCAGTCCTACTATATCATCTATGTGTGTGTCCCCATATAGAGAATGTCACTAATATAGATAATGCTCCTGGCCGCCGTCTTAAGTCCAGGAATCCCATTTGGCAAGATAAGGTACAAACGCATCATGAACCATTTCGTATCAGAGACGTTTGGTACAAATTATTGTTTACATGTTTTGCATCCTCTGTCACACAGGTTAAGACAAAGGTACTCTTCAAAATGAACCGTTTTTATATAAACAAAGTTTTTCCAAATCACTCAGTCAGCAGAGGCGAACTTGTCACTTGGCCTTCTTGTTCTTTTGACTTAAATCTAATGGAATTTTTGCTGGCATTTCGTTCCCAGCAACAAGGAGCCTTTGTTGAATCCACGTATAAAGTTTTTAATTAAATAGTTAAACTATTACTAGTTAACTAATCCCCCATTTCAACTCCGAAAAGCTTTAATTTAATTAAACATTTTTTCTAGAAAACCGTTTACTTTATTGATGCCAAACAAACTCACTTTGTTTTAATATTAAGCTCTCTAAGTGCAAACATTAGAAACTTAAATAATTGCCAAACAAAGTTGAACTTTTTGGGTTACAGTCCGGTTGACTAAAGCAGCAATTTAATTTTTCACAAATATTTTTAGAATAGGTCTTTTTGATACAATTCTAAAAATATGTAATTAATGGTCGTTAAGAGTGCCGGTTTCTCAACTAATCATCTGCTTTCGCCAAGATAAATACCATGTTTGGATCACAAGTTAAAAAAAACATGTTTTTTGAGCTCAAATTTCCACACTTATTAAGAGTGACATTTGTTTAATATCGGCTAATCTAGTAGCTTAATCTCAGAAAAATAACAACACTTTAATGCGTTATAAATTAGAACAAAAGGACATCAACAATTTATCGGTGCACTGCGCTGAGGCAAGTTTAGGAAAGAAAGATGAAATAAGTAGGTAATGAGTTATAAACTTTACTTTTTTTTAGTTATGAAAGTATTGACAAAAGCTTCAGATGTTGGCGATAAGAAAATGTTTTGGATTTCACACCATTTCAAATTGAACCGAAAATAAAACAAACCATTGTAGCTTTCTAGTTGATTTAATAACGCAATTTTACAAATAGTTATAATATTTTATTACAAATTACGTTAAATCACAGCCGATACGAAACCAAGGCAAATCTTGTTACAAATGAAGTAATGTTATTCAACTCTATTAATGGGACGAATCGAAGCTCTAGTACAGCTGGTAAATTTTCGCCTAGTTGTACAAAGCATTTTTTTCATTTCAAAAGTTTATTAAATCTTATAACCAAAGTATTTTACCTGGAATCTACTAAGCTAGATTATCATATTGACAAATAGAGAACACGTTTACAGTGCACATCAAGTCTTCGTACATGTAAATCACTACAGCTTACAACCGCAATATTTAAATTATTAGCTAGACAACGAAATTTGATAATTAATTGCAATAAAAGCAACAAATTAAAAAGGTGAACTATTGAGCGTACTGAGCACATATCAGATTGCGAAGAACAATGAAACTTTTCGCATCATCAGAGCCGTCAAAGGTTTCTCATGTAAGAAAGTACAGATACAGATCTCCGGATGTGCGAATTTCAGCCACCATGAGGACCGATTTCTAGCCTATTAGCTCTCATCAGCTAGTTTTAGCCTGAAAACAACACTCTTAAAACGAGTAGTAGCATTTCGCTAATGTATTTTATATCACTGCGCAATACAGGTTGAAGCAAAGCGGCCACCTCAACAAAAAATACCCAAATATTTCTCATCAAAACTTCCGTCCTTTCTAATATCTATACTATTTACGATTCGACTTTCTGGCGCCACTGGAACTTACTGATTATCTGCCCATACTTATAAGCATTACCGACTGTTTTTTAATATGGTGCACAAGGATATGAACCATCTGGTAACCAAAATATAGCCGATCTCGAAAAGAGTCATTTACATCATGAGAAAACTCAATAACCGATATAGCTGACAAGTGATGCAGCTCGTTGCACCAACTAGCTACGCAGATCATAATGAAAGAGAGCAGTTCTATGAAGACATTGTAAACCCGAAAAAAACATCTGGAAACCCGAAAATTACCATCATGATGGGTGACTTTAATGCGAGGTAGACTTCTTTTTCCATTTTCTTCCAGATTGACCTGTTTTGTTATGTGTATCAGATATTAAAAGTTCTTCAGAAGACTATAGATTTTCTGCTGTAAACTAAACTTTTTATTGTATTGGAAGGTAATTTGCGTCATTTGCAGGTTTTTTCTTCTTCAAATTACACCAGAAAGTAAAACTGTTCTTGAATTCGCAATCCGAATTTTCAAGTTAAAAATAATTTGCACTTGACTTTCACAAATCGACTTTAAATTACAGTCGTTCTGCTGTGAACTGTACTTTACATTGTCATCTAAGGTAATTATTTACATTACAAGTAATCCCTCAATGGTGTTTTCTTGGTAATTATCGTGTTTTGGCAGTTCTGGATTTCGATAATAAAGAGTAACGATAATAATAGTTGTTTAGTTGCGTTTTATTTTGCAGAAATAACTTCTTCTACCATTTTTCGATGCCCGAAAAAAATTGAGGTTTTGGGGAATTTTTGGGCGGTTTGGATCCCGGCAGCATTTCATTTTGTAAAAGTACTCGGCAACCAGGGCTGTATTTTTTCTTTGATAGCATTTACTTACAGATTTGTGTAAAACAGGTAACAGGTAGAACTGATAAATCATTCTCAGTTAGCAATGGGAAAATAACCGCAAGAAATATGTCTTTAGACCTTAATTCTAACCGATTGTTAACAACAGTATATAATATAAATATTTGAATTATAATTTGAATATTGTCAGTACGCCAAGAGTGATGAAAGAAGGCCACTTTAGAGCTAACGGTCCATTTTAACCAAAAAATGATTCGATTGAATTTAGAGATGAGTTTTTTTTGACATTTGGATGCAATTTAATATTACTTTATTTATGATGTACACACCAAGAAAGACACTTTTAAGTGACTACCTCCAAAATACATTTTCTCTGAAACTTTAGACGAAAACTATGTTAATGAAAGTACCATTTTGATTTAAATTCGACGAAATTAAGTTGCTGATGTTAAATGTTTCCATATTAAACATCTTTGGGTTAAGACAAAATTCCAGATCGTTATCTGAATTTCTCTTGCATGCCAGTGTCTGACGAAGTATCTTCATCGATATTTGTGTTTTTTCCTTTGCGTTTTAAGCTTTTAATACAGTTTTTGCCCCCAATTGTTTCCTGCTTTTCATCTTTGCACATCTCATTAAGATCTCAACTCTTTATACTTACGTTAATGTTACCTCTGTAGTTATTCCTTTTCCTATTTGTTTTCAAGTTTTTCCGCTCACCTATTTCTCCACAGGATGCAGAGTATTATTTACACGTTAAACTTAGCTGATGCAACCTAATAGATTCGAAACCGGTCCTGAAGGTGCCTGAGATTACCACACCTAGAGATCTGTGACTCCTAGCATCCATCAATAAATAATATTTCTATAACATGAACAAACTTTTCTGTTTGTTATACTATATTTATATCTCACTCGTTAAGAATAACCCGTAAAAACATGCATCTAAAATACATTTTGGCTAATTGGTAGCCATTGGGCGAAAAACCTAAAAATACCCTAATTAACCCCATAACACGCCATCCGCCAGGTAAAAACCGTCATGTGATAAGATACGGAGAATTATGAGCATTTTTGCTGCGAAAATAAAATTTTTAATATGGAACTCTGTTTGCTGCTGCTCATTTCGGGGCGATAAATGTGGTAAAACCTTACTCATTTAGGGCGTGTTTTTGTATGGAGTTTGAAATGACTAATTTTATGTCTTAGCCATAAACATACCAGTAATTTATCAAGAAGCTTTTCAGTTCACGAAATTTTATTTATGAGTCATAATTAGTTGCCTGATCTGAATTTTTAATGATTGAATTATGATTATTTGTGAGATTTTCCCTTTGGCACGCATCCGTCCACTTTGTGCAGAATCGACGCCAATAAATATATTATTTAATTTCAATATTTGTTTCTTTGTCATTAAACAATAAAATATTTTGTTGAATAATGCGGCTTTGCAATCATTCCAAATGCGTAGCGATATTTAAGCGGCTTTGCCAATTTACCGAAAACATCCCAAGTGTTGCTATTTGCTGAAATTCACGCAATCCTGAAACATGTTTTGAAGGGCTTTTCGTTAACATGCGCTTGTAACGCGATTGACTAAATTTACAAAAGTCACTTCCCTGGCACTTGATATTTCCAATACAATTCAGCAATCTCAGCTGTAGCTGCTGGCCTTATCAATTATTTTTTAAACACTAAAAGCAGTATTTGCTAGACCAACGACACCTTGGTTTCCGCTCTCGTGTCTTCGGCCAATGTGCTTCTGGAACTAGGAGATCGAATCCAGCCCAAAAATTTCTTCAGGTGGAACATTTCCTGGAACGTTGATCGGAATTGTCTGGACATTGTGCAGTAAAGGATGAAATTAATTGAGGAGTTGATAAGGGCCATTATGTCCATGACATCACCTTGAAAAAATCAAAGAATTTGATTAGCCATTAAACGAAACTAGTCGAAAAAATAATTGAATGATTTTATATGAGAAAACTCTCAAACTCATATGTAGGGTGTGCAAAATTTTTCAGTTTTATGAGTTATGCACGTTATGAGCTGTATTTTTTAGCAGAGAAAAATTGCATTTTAATTTTTCCTTTGTTATTGACATACAGGGTAAACCTGCATCTTTTACCTCTATCACTAGAAACATTGAAAAATGTAGATGCATTTTTATGCAATGCAATGCAATAGATAAGCCTAATATATATAATAAAATAGAGCATAAGCAAGAAAATAAGTGGAGCGTCCCGAAAAAGTTGGACTTGTTTTTTTTTAAATTAAACACCCTGTATATTTTGGTACCATTAGAGAGCAATGACAAAAACATTTGCACATCCCATAATTTCCAAAAGTTTACATTTCCAGCATAACGAGTATTTATTTTAAAGATGGATAGGTACCGATGGACCAATTCGATGGCCTCCTCGTTCCACGGATTTAACTCTCTTATATTTTTTCCTATGGCGATTTAAAAAAAACGTATATTCATATTACGTTATAATTTAAAAAGACTTCTAAAAAGCTGTCTATGAGGAATTACCTCCCATTTACATGATCAACGCTGTAAAGTCTGTGAAACTTTTATTGCAACACAACAGACAACATAATAAAAGTTTGTTTTGGATTTGCATGACTCTTCCTGTTTTCTTGTTGAGAATTCAGCCTTTTCAATCTTTTCGTCGATTTTTGTCTGTTTTTTCGATTAAATAATAAAACACAAATAAAATAGAAAAATTATATTGTTGCATGAGTGTTATTGCTTTTACCGGGAAATAATTATTCTTTGACAACTTTTGTGATTTAAAATTAAAATTTAACGATTTCTGATTTTACTTTCAGGCATTAATACTCCTGTTTCTGGAACAGAAATAAAAATTTTTGCTGTGTAGTCTTCAATTTTTGTAAGTTCTAATTTGTTGCTTGTGTTGATTAATTGTTGTTTCTTTGTTAAATTTTTATTATATCTTATGTTTATATAAAACTATTTTAAATCCTCCAATAACCGTTTGATTTTTCCCAGGAACTACTGCTTGCAAACCATATCGAGAAATTTGGATCTTTGTTAGAACTTCTTCCTAGTTAGATAAAAATTTGTATAATTGCTATCAAAGCTACTAAAAAAGACTTATACAATACTTACAAGTATGTTTACGCTTATGGTTGAACTCGGGAAGAGCAGGATACATACAATTTACATGGTGTATTATCGAAAATGATTAAAAATGTATTATTTTTAATGGAATTATTAAATTCAAATATTATTAGTTAAAAATATGTATTTATATTTTGTGTACCTACACTTCCAGGACAAAAGATCTTAAAGTAAAGATGAACTCAACAATGTTTCAGTTTAACCCTGTATCTTATTTACAAATTAACTAAATGACAATAAAAACGCACCATTTTTTTCCTAAAAAATAGAAAAGACAAATTTTGGTCCTTCTGCACTTGATCATCTCAGCTCAAACTAGTTAAAGCGGCGGCATAATATAAATGGTTTTTTAATACCCCACTTTTAAATTCTTTATAGTAACTAAAGAAATCAGCTTGTAGGGCCATTAAGCTTTTAACTGCGGATTAATTTTTCTACACTAAATTTCGTTACCGCAATCTAGCTGAGAAAGCGCCTTTCCAAGCGTCTAGGTTATTGAGAGATTAAAATTGCATAATTGCATTCAACGAAAATCGAATACTGCAGTTATAAATTTTATTTTTAGCCTTTAAACCGTTTCCGTTGATTTGAAATGTAAATTAAAGTATCATGAATACACTTCAAACTAAATGCAAGACTACAATTGCATTCTAGATCAGCGCATACAACGATACATTCCAAAACTCCTTTATTTTCCTTCAAGTAGATCCGTTTCGATAATTTTCAGGACAATTTCAAAGGGCAGAAAAAATTATACAAAGTTAATCAGGAAACCCATCCATGGCAAATTTCCTTTACTCCATTAGGGATATTCCCGATTTACTGAGAAAAGTCCCGTATTTTGAACCGTTTTCGATTGGATTTAGGTAGAGCTTTTTCAACCCACGCTGGGCATTATAAATTTAAAAAAGTGCTTTTTGGCCTAAGGATATCCTGATGTCCATTTCAAAATGGTATAAAAAGTTCTAATGTGTATTTTCATAGACGATGGCTGGATAATTTGATGAGAAATTTCTAACTCGTTCAGTGTTTCTTGAAAAATCATTTGAAGCGCACAGATAACATTTAAAAAAATATTTATAGTAAATAATAAGCATTATAAAAAATAAGTCGCTTAAAAGTTGTGCAGGCCTCTGAGCAATATTTCCTTGCCTCAGCAAATTCTGCTGCCTGTTTATGCGATTTGGGGCTTGAATTAATTTATTAAAATCAGCCAACTAAAAATTAATTAATGAAAGCTTTGTGCCGAAAAGTCTGCTTTGAACCAGTATATCAAAACAGCAATTTAAGCAGTAACACAGATGCACTTTTGCAAATCGGTATAAATTCTATTGAAACAAAATAATTAATTTAGTTCGAATAGTTTAGTTTAGTTTAGTTTAGAAACCGAATTCTGGAAGAACACAAGCGGATCAAATGTAATGAAATGCAAATCTGTGGCAGAAACCGTTGAAAATACTAGACGCTTATTATTAGCTATATTTGAGCATTATTATTAATGCTCAAATAAACATACAATGCGATCCGATGACAGTAAATTAAAAGCAAGTCTAAAAATTTGTATGTAAATTTACATAAGAAATCACAAAATATTACTCTTTTTATTGAAGCAAAATTGCAAAAAATTATTTAAAGAAGGAAAAGCATTAAAAGAAACCTTAGCAATTGTTCATAAATATAACTGACCAATTAGAGCAAATAAAAGATACTTACATAGAAATGTTCCTTCATACAAGATTTTTCTCTTTAAACTTAATTACCTTCTGCTCTAGTCTTTTTTCCAACTTTCAGATTAGAACATGAGTAGCCATGAAAAATCCAATTACATCCGAGAACGTATTTTATTGCCATGAACTTAGACACTAGGGAAACAGTTACTTTTAATGCTACATAAAGAGAGTCTTGTCCAAAATAAAAAAGAGATAAAAAGAGAAAATTCAAAATAATCTAAAAAACAAGGTCATTCGTAGGCCGCATTGCCAGACTAAGAATAAGTGAATTCTCATATTAGCGATCGAAAAAATATACCGCAAAGGAAACGATGCCACCAAATCGAAAAGTTGGTTTGACTACTTTGGTTTAGGATAAGTTTTCTATACTCTTTTCAAATAGCCCAAGCCATATAATTTCAAGCCTCATTTGCTTGGATCTGAGGGCTTCATCCTAATGTAGAAGTTTCAGATGGGGCAATTACATTTTATGAACTTTTCCTTCATGGCTATGTACTTACTATTTTAGTATCTGTGTGACAGTGAGTTTACACCGTTTATTTTAACACATGCTTGAGTTTAATCGCCGCTCGATAGCAGTGGATTGACTAAAACTGCGAATTGCGTTTTGGAAAATCCATCTTCACGCTGGGACATTATTAGACTATTTTCTGAATATTCTGCAAAGAATTCCAGAAAGCCCATTAAATCCTAGAGAAATATTGCGGACTAACCGGAAAATGTTGCTGGTTCTCTCATGTGCCCATAATTATTAAAGTGGTGTAAGTCTTATATTTATTTTTTTTTGTATTGTCTAACAATGT